GCTTCGTACCCGTCTCGGCTCATCCTACATTGCGTCTGACTTCCGCCTCCTTGCCCAGCACGCTGTGGCTTACAAGCAATTCACTCACCAGCAATTCTGGTTGCGGCAGCAAATCACAAGTCTGGCCGGTCTCAGGACCGACGTCAGAGCGATCAATGAAGAAGATTACTGGAAAGACGCGTCGTCAGCGGCGCTTGATGGATGGTGAGACTGGCCAGATGAAGCTCTGTGCCTTAGCAGACGATACAAGGAAGCTGACCAACACAGATGGCTCTACCCTGTTGCAGTCAAGGTACTGTACTCCCTCGAGTCTTCACCTCACAATGTAATGGTGGCGTATCCCGATCGCCCGCTTGGTGTTGACATAGAGATGGAAAGCCGCGTCAGGTCGGCCTTCTCTGCAACTTCACCTCCTGCTTCCTTGCCCACATTTGGCCACATAAGCCTCAAGGCATGTCTAGGAGCCATATACCGCGCATCGTGAGCATGCAGAGCACGTCGTTCGTTGGTACGTGCGAAATGCAAGACTAACCTCACTCATCGCTCAGACCTGAACTCGGCTTGGATGAGCGCAAGGACTTCACTCTGTACGCTGTCGACCCACTAGAATCCGCTAGATCAGCTTCGCAGAGACAGCATGGCTTGGTAGATAAGCACTCTACTCGGCAACGTCTTGCCAGCAGTGGTGGAAGCGCAACGCCTGGTTCGTCGTCATCGGCGCTACAAGCGGCACCCATCAGCGTTGGCAAAGGTTTCTGGAGCTGGGTACTGGCTGAAGATGGTGAAGGCACATCTATGGTCATGGGCGTTGTACGCGGCCAATACGAAGAGGAAGAGGAATTAGAAGTGACTTTGAAGCTTAAGGAAGCTCCAAGACGAAGTCGCGAGCAATACGACTCCATGTTGAAGTCATTCTACCCCGGCAGCGCCAAGCCAACTTCCAGAAGACGACACGACTCTGGCGACGAAGGTGATGAGGAAGGAGCCGCTCCGCCACCCCGACGGCGCCGATTGGAAGATCTGCGCACCATGTCCAGTCCGCCGCCAGTGACCCAGCGAATCGACCCTCGAAGGCCGTCTTTGTTGGGCCGCGGCCGCTCATCCCCAGGGAGTGATGTCGAAACGCCCGTGTCGCAATTCGCGATTCCCGCTGCGACGAGTACAGAGAACGGTACCAACTCGTCTTCAAGCGATGTGCCCGCGCTACAACTTCAGCTGCTCGAGCTGCTACGTGCATTGCAAACTCAGTCTGGCCAGTCAGGTCAGGATGCGAGTGCAACGGCTCGTCAACAGTCAAACGTTAAGGGCTCTTCTCTGGAGACCTTGCCGTCTACAGAGGCTACGACGGTCAAAACCGCAGATGCTTCGCAGCAGCTCGCGCAGCTGCTTGGCTCGGCCGTGTCTTCCTTTGTGCCTCGGCATCATGGCCCCTCCCAGGTGACTGCAGCTCCATCGCCTGTGCCACCACGCCCTGGACCGATTGACGGACCATCACCTATGGGTGAGCTCACCCCTGGCTATTCGGGTGAGGACGTCCTGCGCGGCAAGTCGCCCAGAGCAACCTCCCAGACGCCTGCTACGAGCAAAGATCCTGATAGCGAATCGTCTAACACTGCGAACGATTCCGCGAAGGTCAGGCAAAGCAAGCGCTGTTACAACTGTGGCATACGTGGACTTCGAAGCTGGCGTTTCGTCCAACTAAGCGAGGAAGACCGCGCCGACATTGACAGTGTTGAAGGCTCTCAAGTGGAAGAAGACGAACAGGCTCGAAAACGGACACCTGCTGGCTACGAGCTTAGACGAGCTTGCAATGCCTGCGGAAAGGCTTTTCTCAAGACTGGGCAACATCGTGAGCCGAAGGGCGCCGACGTTCCTCGATTGCCCCGAGGTCGTGCATTCGAAGAAGCGTTGGCGAACGCGATCGCGCTGAACGAAATCAGCGACAGCGAGATGGATGAGCTTGCGGCCAATCATCCTGGACTGGGCAAGCGAGCAAGATCAGGCGGCCTTGGGCCACGAACTCTAAGTGGCGTGTGCGAAAGAGCGTCCAAGCGAACGGGTCTCGGACCTTGCCTAGCCCCGGACCTGGCATCTGCGCGCTTCAAAGACTTCGTGAAAGACTCGCAAGGGCGTTGGCGAACCAAACGAAGCATCCTGGAGAATCCTGAGCTCATCGCAACCGGTCGGCCTCCCGGTCGAAAGAATGGTGAGGCGCAAGGGCGATCAGCTCAGCGCATGGCAGCAGCGAAAGCTGTCAAGCAACGTGAAGAGAACGCAGCCAAGATGAGCGCAAACTCTCAGAAGCCGCCTACAGTCAAAGAGGCCGATGCTGCAGATCAGCGCAACGCTGCGACGACGAGCTCGGGCCCTCAAGCTGCTGCGCGCTCGCACACAGATACCGCGGCAACATCTTCTTTCCGTGTGCCCAGGCCCGCTGGCGCTTCGGGACCTCAGACCAGTCCTATCTTGCCTTCCATATCGGCACGTCTCAATACGCCTAGGGGGTCAGCTAAGCTCGGAGGCAAATCAGGTCCACCTTCTACGTCACAAAGCACGTATGGAGCGTCGCATTTCCTCTTGGAGTCCAGTCCTGGCACTGCTTTGGAAACCCTCTTGAGTGAGGGTGATTTTGATTGGCACGAAATGACGAACAACGGCCCTGCTATGCCGGTCAGAAGGAGTCCACGTAAACATCCTCTCGGAACTCGAGCTGCTCACAATCCGTTCGCGACAGAGCATTCAGAAAGCGTTACCGATGCGAGCCAGGCAAATCATGTCGAGCCCAGTGCAGCTCACGAGAATGCTGAGACGCCTCGGTCTGCGCGCACGTCTGGGTCTTCTTTGCCACAAAGTTTCACCGAGGCAGAGTTGTTCAATCTCATCACTACAAGTCCA